GTGGTTGACGACTACTCGCGTTACACCACAGTCCTCCCCTTGCGCAGCAAGGGTGCGGTCACTGAGGTGCTGATCGACTGGATCCGCGAGGCTCGTCTCCAGCTCAGGAAGAGCTTCGGCTCGGACTTTCCTGTTCTGCGTCTGCACTCTGACCGAGGCGGAGAGTTCTCTTCTCGCCTTCTGCGAGACTACTGTCGTGCACGGGGGATCCGCCAGACCTTCACGCTTCCGGACTCACCGCAGCAAAATGGGATTGCTGAGCGCCGCATTGGCATGGTCATGGATGTCGCTCGTACGTCCATGATGCATGCGGCTGCCCCCCATTTTCTGTGGCCGTTTGCGGTGAGGTACGCGGCGCATCAGCTCAACCTTCACCCCCGGGTCTCTCGGCCTGCGATGTCCCCAGCCTTGCTGTGGACGGGGAAGGTTGGCGATGCGTCTGTGTTCCGTGTCTGGGGATCTCGGGCGTTTGTCCGCGACTTGTCTGCGGACAAGCTGTCCCCTCGCGCTGCTCCCTGTGTCTTCCTTGGCTTCCCCACTGACGCCCCAGGGTGGCAGTTTTACCACCCCTCCTCTCGTCGTGTTCTGTCCTCCCAGGACGTCACGTTCGACGAGTCAGTCCCCTTCTACCGTCTCTTCCCCTACCGCACTCCTTCCCTCCCCCCTCCCCCGGACTTCCTTGTGCCGGTTCCCCCCCCGGTAGACCCCCTCCCCCCTCAGGTTCCTGCCCCCTCAGGTGTGTCCCAGGTAGACGCCGTTGACCCGGTCGAGGTTACTGGTGACTCTGGTGCTGCTGCGGGTGCTGAGCCTGGGGGTGCTGACTCTGGGGGTGCTGTGCGCGGGGGTGCTGAGCCTGGGGGTGCTACTGCTGGGGGTGCTGGGCCTGAGGGTGCTACTGCGGAGGGTGCGGAGCCTGGGGGTGCTGAGCCGGGGGGTGCTATGCCTGGAGGTGCTGGGTCTGGGGGTGCTGGGTCGGGAGCTGCTGAGCCTGGGGGTGCTGAGCTGGGAGCTGCTGCGCCTGGGGGTGCTGCGTCTGGAGCTGCTGAGCCTGGGGTTTCTCCTGCTGCTGCATCTCGCCGTGAGCCCCTCTCTCCACAGGAGCTGCGCGAGTGGTTCGCTCGCCGCTGGAGGCGTGCTGCTGAGTCTGGAGGTGCTGCTGGAGCTGGGGCTGGAGCTTCTTCGACCGTCGAGGGTGCGGGTGCTGCCGGTCCCGGAGCTGCTGGACCTGCGGGTCCGCCTGGAGCTGGAGCTGCTGAGGGCGTTGGTGCTGAGCCTACTGCTGTTGGTCCTGCCGCTGGAGGTGTGGGTGGCGCTGGTGCTGTCGCTGAGGGTGCTGGTGCTATCCCTGCTGAGTCTGGAGCTGCCGCGCGGCCTCGGCCGTACTTCGTTCCGCTCCTGCAGCAGGTTCTTGGTCTTTCTCCTCCAGTAGAGGGTCCACCGCCTGTCCAGTCGCAGTCCCTGCTGGAGCCTTCCTCTCCACTGCCTGCTCCCTCTCCTTACACTGGTCCTACTGGAGGTCTTGCTGAGCGTCTTGAGCCTGCGTCTCGTCCCGCGTCGCCTGTTCGTGCTGCTCGCGCTAGTGGTCGCAGTTCGCGTCAGCGTCCTCCTCCTGTCCCTGGCACGCACCGGATGTCTTTACGTCCGTCCACTGCTCCTCTGCGTGCCCCTTTGCCTTCTCCTCCTGAGTCCTCTCTTCCTGCGCTTGCCGACCCTGAGTCGGACTCTCTTCGTGCTGCCAGTCCTACTGTCACGCGTCTGCTTGCTACTGTCGTCACTGACCCCTCTTTTGAGTCCACTGCTGCGTCTGCTCTAGTCGCTGAGCTCGTCGACTTTGCTGCTCGCTGTCGTCTCGACTACGCTGCTACTCTTGTTGCTGAGTCTGCGTCTGTCTGTCCTCCGTCCGTCGGGGGTGAGTGTGCTCTTGGCACGGACGTCCTAGAGGACAAGCAGGAGGAGTTACAGTGTCTAGCGGCTGCTTCACCTCATCTCGCGTCTGTACTGCTTGCCCCTGAGGGAGACCCGGATGCACTAGACATCCCGACTCCACGTTCTTACGCGGAGGCCGTAGAGGGTCCCTACTCCTCTCAGTGGCAGGCAGCTATGGATGCAGAGATGGCTTCCTGGAAGTCCACAGGCACCTACGTTGACGCGGTTCCCCCTCCTGGGGCGAACATCGTCAGTGGCATGTGGATCTTCAGGGTGAAGCGGCCGCCGGGCTCTCCACCTGTCTTCAAGGCACGGTACGTTGCTCGTGGCTTCAGTCAGCGGCAGGGAGTTGACTACTTTCAGACCTTCTCTCCCACCCCGAAGATGACTACTCTTCGGGTGGTGCTGCACATAGCCGCTCAGCGCGACTACGAGCTTCACTCTCTCGACTTCAGCACTGCGTTCTTGCAGGGTAGCCTGCACGAGGAGATCTGGCTTCGCCGTCCACCTGGCTTCACTGGGACTTTCCCTCCTGGCACCCAGTGGAGCCTCCGACGGCCAGTCTACGGTCTCCGCCAGGCACCGCGTGAGTGGCACGACACACTGAGGACTACGCTTGCGGCTCTTGGGTTTGCTCCTTCTACTGCTGACCCGTCGCTGTTTCTTCGCACCGACACTTCCCTGCCGCCGTTCTACATCCTCGTGTACGTCGACGACTTGGTCTTTGCCACAGCGGACACTGCTGGACTCGCCTACGTGAAGTCCGAGCTGCTGAAGAGACACACGTGCACAGACCTGGGTGAACTGCGCAGCTACCTTGGCTTGCAGATCACTCGGGACAGAGCACGTCGCACCATTACCTTGACTCAGTCACACATGGTGCAGCAGGTCCTTCAGCGCTTCGGCTTCACGTACTCCTCGCCTCAGGCCACTCCTCTGCCTACTCGCCACTCACTCTCAGCTCTGCCTTCGGATGAGTCCGTAGAGTCGAGTGGTCCGTATGCAGAGCTTGTTGGCTGCCTCATGTACCTGATGACCTGCACACGACCTGACCTTGCATACCCTCTGAGCATTCTTGCACGCTATGTTGCTCCTGGGAGACACAGACCGGAGCACATGGCTGCAGCGAAGAGGGTATTGCGCTACCTGTGCAGTACGTCGGGCATGGGGCTAGTGCTTGGAGGGTGGAGTCCAGTGGTCCTTACCGGCCACGCGGACGCTTCTTGGGCTGACGACCAGGCTACGCAGCGGTCGTCACAGGGTTACACCTTCAGTCTTGGTTCCGGCTCTGTCTCGTGGCGGTCTACTCGCTCGTCTTCGGTTCTCGGCTCCAGCTGTGAGGCTGAGATCTACGCCGGGGCCATGGCTGCACAGGAGCTTCGCTGGCTCACCTACCTGCTGACTGACCTTGGAGAGCCGCCTCGTTCTCCTCCAGTGCTGTACGTAGACAACAAGGCCATGCTGGCCTTGTGTCGAGAGCAGCGCTTGGAGCACAGAACGAAGCACATTGCTCTCCGCTACTTCCTTGCTCGTGAGCTGCAGCAGCGTGGTCAGTTGCGACTTGCGTACGTGGCCTCTGAGGCCAACACTGCTGATGTGTTCACCAAGGCACTCGCGCCTTGTGACCATCAGCGCTTTTGCACCCAGCTGGGTCTTGTGCCTGTCTTGCCTCACTTGCTCTCCTCTTGACTTCACTTGTACTGTGACATATATATATGCCTGCTCTTGCTTGTCTAGTTTTATATATATGTCTGTACTCCTGCATGTGAACTGGCCTCTGGCCCTACTCTTGTGCTCGGACTGTGTGGTGACTTTGTGATCCACCCTGAGCTTGCTTTGCTTTGCTTGACTGGTCTTGTGACCCCTTGTTCTCCCCCACTTTGCCTATGGGGGTGTGTCAGATTTATATGACATAGTTGCTGTAGGCTATAGTGGGGTAGCACATATGGGGTACAGGTTTTCTAGGGTTGTATTTGTACCCAATCTTTCCTTAGTCATTTCATTCCTGTTTTCTTTACTTCACACTCGTCGCACTATCATCTGCTGAAGCAGAGTATATTGCTCTCTGCACCGCTACCAAGGAAGGTCTGTACCTGCGCGAACTGCTGGAAGAAGCGAAAATTGCGAAAGTACCCAGCTTCTCGCTTTTCTGCGACAACCAGTCCGCGTTACGAATCGCGAACAAGAATGGCTTCGCCAACAGAACCAAGTATATCGCACTGCGATACTTCTTCGTGAAAGACGAAATTGAGAAGGGAAAACTCCAGCTGGACTACTGCCCGACCACCGAGATGGCAGCAGATTATCTCACCAAGAAGCTACCAAAGGGGAAATTCGAGTACTGCATGCTGCTCACCGGATTGGGCCACGTCACCGAGGCTGACCACGTCGACACTCCAGAAACGAAGGGGAGTGTTGGGAATATAAACGCATGACTTAGTGCGTTTCTTTAGAATCGAACCTCACCCGATACTGAAGCACAACAAAAGGAGTATGAAGTCGAAAAAGGCGCGTACCACATCAAACCGCAGCTGGAAGTTGCGAGCCGTAACCGCCTGGAGGTTACGCAACAGCAGGCGACGCTTCAGTGAACAGTAACCGCCTCGATAGTCGAAGCGTTACGCGTCTCGATAAACATAACCGCTTCTTGTAATCTATCTTTTCTATATATTCCTGTATGCTCTTTGCTTCAATCAATTACTTGTCCTCACATACCAGCACAAGTACATTCACTCAAAAGACTTCCGCTGTGCTACTCTAGCACCTACTAGCCTATTCTCTGCAAAGATCCTAAGGCTGAAATCCTCAGCCCAACATTTGGTAACCCACAGCCATAGGCAACACGTTTCAGGGTCCAGTGAATTTCTGCTGACCGTGTCAAATCAAAAGTAACATAAAACTCCTTGTCCCACCTCAGCAGTACAAAACCGGTACCGTAAGAAGGACCCCTACAAAACCCCTAGGACAACTGCAAAATACACAGACATGACTGCCAGTTACCAGCACCCAGCCAGCCAACCAAGCAACCACCCATTTCAACAATGCTGCACACCCTATATGCAAGCAACGATGCATCATAGCCCCACCTCTCCCTCCACAATTGCCCAGTACTCGAGGCCTGATACACAGCAATTCACTCCAAGCCCCAGTAACATGCAGGTGGAGCAACAGCGTGAACCAGTGCAGTGCAGTGCAGTGCAGTGCAGTTCAGTGCAGTTCAGTGCTGTTCAGTGCAGTTCAGTTCAGTGCAGTGTAGCGCACTGATTCACAACACCAACGACTCATGATTCACAGAACCCTCCCAAAAGCCAAACCTCTCCCTTTCCCTCTTCTTCTCACTCAACCATCTCCTCCACCACTGCGTCGCCGCCCCCCATCACCTGCGCCTGCATTCCATACATCCCCCCCACTCCTCCCCTCTCCCCACCCCTCACATCCCTACCCACTTCTCCTCTTCCTCCTCCTCCCCCTCCTCCCTGGTCCCTACCCAACCTCAGAGCCGACAACATAGCCTCCCCAACAGCAGAAAACCCTCTCACCGTTCTCAAAACCTCTTCAACCGTACCAGCCTCGTCTACCCTCGCTTCGTCGCCCCACTCTGCCCCTTCCCCTGCCCAGCTCCCGTATCCTGCCGACTGCCCCAGCAGCGGCAGCACTGCCTCAAAACTTTCAACCTGCGCGGCCTTGGCATGGAGTGGGTGTGCGTCCGCAGAGGCAAAGGGGTGCCAAGGCGGGATGAATGCAGGCTGAGATGAGATGGAGGAGAGCTTAGAAGCAGAGGCAGAGGCTGTAGAGGAGATGGGATGACCGTAGAGTAATTGCGCTGCAATGCAGAGCACAGAGCTGCGAAGAGCGGTAACAAACTGGGAGTCCGTCCATCCCTCGTCCTCGCTCCTCTGTCTCATCTCCACCCAGTCGTCCGCCTCTGCTGCTGCCAGCCATGCTCGCTTCAGCACTCGCACCGCCTCCTTCCGCTGCTCCCTCTGCCACTTCGCCGACCCGAAACTCCCACCGTCACCATCACCACCACCACCACCGCCACCGCCGCTGCCAGTACCAGCAGCAGCAGAATCCGCAGGAGCAGCATCAGAGGCAAGGCCAGCGAGAGGATCCAAAGGGGGAGGCGGGTGGAGGAAGGGCGAGGGGCCGACAAGAGCAAACACCTCAAAGGAGAGCAGGAGAAGGGGGCGAGGGCCTGGGAGCAGTGCTGCTGCGAGCTCCAATGCGCCTATGGGGCCTGGGCCTGCTAGGCCCTCCGACATGGCGGCCTCCTGCAGGGCAGAGAGGGGATGCATACATGTGCATGGATGGAAGGGGACAGGGAGGCATTGTGGGGAAGGAGAGCAATGGGTACGAGGGCCTGGGAGCAGTGCTGCTGCGAGCTCCAATGCGCCTACTATGAAGCCTGGGCCTGCTATCCCCTCTGACATTGTTGATTTTTGAGGCGCCTCAAAAATCGCCTATGGGGCCTAGGCCTGCTATCCCCTCTGACATTGTTGCTTCCTGGAGGATAGAAAAGGGATGAATACATAGTGCCATGTGCCATGCGCATAGATGGAAGCGGACAGGTGTTTGTGTGAAGGGGGGAGGAAGAGTGTGAGTAAAGCTGTCCGTCCAACCAAACGCAGAGCCCTACAGGAACCTAAAGCAGCTCATGTCTGGGCATCAACCTTCCTACTCGCTCAGTATAAAAATTGCGGGTAATGAGACGACTTTTGAGGCGCCTCAAAAGTAAAGCTGTCCGTCCTACCAAACGCAGAGCTCTACAGGAAGTCAAAAGTCAACTCCCTACAGGAAAAGCAGCTCATGTCTGGGCATCAACCTTCCTACTCGCACACACTCACTCGCACACCCACCCACCTCCTCACTCTCTCACTCTCACCCTCTCACAATCTCCCTCGCTCGCTTGCTCTCTCCCTCTCTTGCTCTCTCACTCAGTCGCTCAAACCCACTCTCTTGCAGCAACAGCCCGTCACCTGAATCTTGAGCAGCCGCAGTTCAAGGTCAGCAGAGAGTTTTTGAGAATTCACTCCCTGCAACTTCAAGGTCAGCAGAGAGCACAGTGGCTCGCTCGCGACGTTGACTTGCGAGACTAAAAGCCCTTATTCACTCTCAGACAGACTCTCAACAGCCTATCCCCCCCCCCCCCCCCCCCCCCCAGTGCCCTCGCAACAACAGCTCGTTACCTGAATCTTGAGCAGCCGCAGCTCAATGTCAGCAGAGAGGACAGTGGCTCGCGACGTGAGGGACGACGGGTCTGAGGAGACAGGGAGAAAAGAATCAAGGCCAGAAGAAGGCACGGTGAAATGTCAGAATTGGTCTGGTCTGGTTTGGTCCGGTTCGGTCCGGTGGTTAGAAAAGGATGGAGAAAAAAAACGAAGGGGAAGAGGAAGAGGAGACAGAACAAGGAGGGAAGCTGAGGGGAAACCAGGGCAAGGCAAACATCCAAAAAAGCAAGCATGTGCGGTGGGTGGGATACTTACCTGAAGCACCAGCCAGGAAGGAGAGTTTCGCAAGCTGCAGAAGCTTCTTCCTCCTCCTCAGCACACTCAACCCCATAGCCGCAACCCCCCCTTCCATGCCTTCCATCCCTTCCATCCCTCAGTCACATCTTTCCCATGTGCGGTGAAATTCTTACCTGAAGCACTGGCCAGGAAGGAAAGTTTCGCAAGCTGCAGCAGCTTCTTCCTCCTCCTTAGCACACTCAACCCCATAGCCGCAACCCCCCCTTCCATGCCTTCCATTCCCTCGTCCCCTCCCTGCTCCTTTCTCCGATTCTTCCCGGCTTTCCCGTGCTTGGCCTGCCGCTGAGCTTCTTGCTCCATCATGGATTGCGCGGCTGGGAAGGAGGAGGCGAGCGCGTGCAGGGTAGAAGCGGCCTTGGGGAAGTTACCCAAAAGAAGGTCGTGCAGCCACTGCAGGTGCTTGTGGTCCTGTGAGGGGAAGAAGAGGGGAGAGGAGGGAGGAGGGAGGAGGGAGAGGGGAGGGCTGGGATGATTTTTGAGTCGACTCAAAAGCCACTGCAGGTGCTTGTGGTCCTGTGAGGGGAAGAAGAGGGGAGAGGAGGGAGGAGGGAGGAGGGAGAGGGGAGGGCTGGGATGATTTTTGAGTCGACTCAAAAGCCACTGCAGGTGCTTGTGGTCGTGTGAGGGGAGGGGGAAGAGTGGGAGGGGGAGGGGGGAAGAGGGGGAGCGGAGAGGGAAGAGAGGGGTAGAGAGGTGGGGAGGGGAGAGGTAGAAGGGAGGGACGAGCAGGCGGGGCTAAAGGACAAAGGGGCTAAAGGACAAAGGCGCTAAAGGACCAGCAACTTAAAAGCAAGTCAGAAGGCAAGCCAGCAGGGCAAAACAGCGCAAAGCAAAGCAGAGCACACGGCAGAACACATTTCACCTACTCACCTCGAGGAAGACTTTTGAGTCCACTCAAAAGGTGACTTTTGACTTTTGAGTCGACTCAAAAGGTGAATTTTGACTTTTGAGTCGACTCAAAAATCAGAGCACACGGCAGAACACATTTCACCTGCTCACCTCGAGGAAGGACTCGAGCTCGGTGGGGAAGGGGCAGGGCCAAAGCGCATCATGCCGGTCAATCTCTCGCCCGCACAACCCAACAAGCAAACGAGCCGGCAAGCAAGTAGCGTGCACAGCAAAGCAAAGCAGAAGTCAAAGCATCTTCCCACACCCCTCACCTTGAGGAAGGACTCAAGCTCGGAGGGGAAGGCGGGGCCAAAGCGCATCATGCCGGTCGCTCGCCCGCGCAACCCAACAGGCAAACCAGCCGGCAACCCAACCCAGCAGGGCAAAGCAAAGCAAAGCAGAATGCAAAACATCTTCTATTCTGCCCGCCCGCTCACCTCGAGGAAGGACTCGAGCTCGGAGGGGAAGGCGGGGCCAAAGCGCATCATGCCGGCAACGTCCCCCGCTGCTGTGAACTGTGAGAAGACAAAGAAGGTGAAGCGTCCCTCGGGACCCGATGGGATGTCCCTCTGGTGGTGGGGGAGGGTGGGGAGGGACGGGAGGGTGGGGGAAGAGGGAAGGCAGAAGGGGTAGTGAATTTATGAGGTGTGTCAAGAGCAGGAATCGTAACAGCAGCAGCGTCCCCCGCTGCTGTGAACTGCGAGAAGACAAAGAAGGTGAAGCGCCCCTCAGGCCCCGATGGGATGTCCCTCCGGTGGTGGGGGAGGGAGGAGAGAAAGAGGAAGCGGGACGAAGTGTAGATTGATCCAACTAAGCAACTCGTTCAATCACTGAAACATCCCCAACACCCCCCAGCACTCCCCAGCACCCCCAAGTACCCCCACGCACCCAGAGCAGCCCAGCCCACCATGAGTGCTTCGAGCAGCGACACGTCCTGCAGGTAGCGGCAGACGTGGAAGAGCGTGGCGTAGTTGCAGTGCAGTGCTGCAACACCCCCACACGCACGCACCCCCATGCACCCTTCCCTGGGCATCCCAGAAACCCCCAAGCACTCTTGGGCAATGTACCATGAGGGCTTCAAGCAGCGACACGTCCTGCAGGTAGCGGCAGACATGGAAGAGCGTGGCATAGCTGCAGTGCTGCCGAGCCAGGGCAAATGGAGCTGCTAGGGCGGCTCGCAGCGAGGCCGCGGGGTCCTGCGGTGGGGTGGGGTGGGGTGTGGTGGGGTGGGCGGATGGGGTTGTTGGCAGGTGGGGAATGGGAAATGGGGGATGAAGCGAGGGCGAGGGAGAAGGATGAATGACGATTGGGGGAGTGGCGAGTGAGGCCAAGGGGGTTTGGCAGTGGGGCTAGGGAGAAGAGAAGCATGTGAGGAATGCAGTACGTAAAACGATTTCTGAGGCGCCTCAAAAATCGATTTTTGAGGCGCCTCAAGAAGGATGAATGGCAATTGGGGGAGTGGCGAGGCGAGTGAGGCCAAGGGGGTTTGGCAGTGGGGCTAGGGAGAAGAGAAGCATGTGAGGAATGCAGCACGTAAAACCAGAACCGGATCACGAGAGACCGTGCAACCAGAGCATAGGTAACCAGACCCCACCCAACAAGACCCCACCCAACAAGACCCCACCCAACAAGACCCCACCCAACAAGACCCCACCCAACCACACCCCACACAACCAGACCCGACAAATCCAGACCCCACACAACCGTCCGGCACATACATCTGATGCCTCTGCTGCTGCAATCGCCCGCTGAACAAGCACAGAGAGCAAAAAGTCCCGCTTCCAGAAGAATTCCCTCTCTAGCGCCTGCCGCTCCTCCTGCTCCTGCTCGCCCTCCTGCTCGCCACAACCCTCGCCTCCAACATATGAACGCTCCCAGGAAAAAGGATGCAGCACGAGATCTCCCACAACCACCAGACCCCACACAGCCAGACCCCCAAAAGACAGACCCCACACTTACATCCGACGCCTCTGCTGCTGCAATCGCCCGCTGCACAAGCACACTGACTTGAGGCGACTCAAAAATCACCCAGCAAAACCCACAAAACCACACCACACATACATCTGACACCTCTGCTGCTGCAATCGCCCGCTGAACAAGCACAGAGAGCAGAAAGTCCCGCTTCCAGAAGAATTCTCTCTCTAGCGCCTGCCGCTCCTGCTGCTCCTGCTCGCCCTCCTGCTCGCCCCTGCCCGCCACGTCCCTGGCTTCCAATGCAGCGGCGAAGGCTGAGAGCAGCAGCGAGGAGAGGGCGAGCGAGAGGCGGTGCAGGAGAGAGGCCTGCTCCTTGTCCCATGCTGCTGTGGCCCTGGTGGGTTGGGATGGGGGAGGGATGGGGGAGGATGGGGAGGATGGGGAGGATGGGGAGGATGGGGATAGGGAGGGTGAGGCGGATGGGGAAGGGGACGAGGACAGGGACGGGAAGTGGGAGGGAACAAGGGAGGGGACGGAGAGAAACGGGATTTTTTAATCGGCTTGTAAAAGACTAAAAGGCCATTCTGACGTCTTTATGTGGAGCGGAATGATTTCGACTATGGGAGAAGCACATAACAGGAGTGAATGGTTGGTGACTGGTGGAGGCTAGAGGGAGTTAGAGGAGGAACACAGGAGCTAGAGAAACGGGGAATGGATGAGAAGGACTGCATCCGGCGGGGTGTAAATAAGAAACTTCATTCAGGTGAGGTGCGGTCAGGTGAGGTGAGGTGAGGTGAGGTGAGGTGAGGTGAGGTAAGTAACTCACTCGAGCTGAATAAGCGTAGCCAGCAGAGACCACAGCGCAGCCCTAACAGCAGCACTGCATGCCCACGGCTCCCACCGCTCCACCCACTGCCACACATCCCCCGTTCCTCCCCCTGCTCTCCGTTTTCTCCCTCGCCCCTTCCCCCTGCGCACCCCCCCTAGGTCCGACCCAGCCAGCCGCCCCACGTCCGGGTACCACCGAGCCTTGTCGGTTCGGTAGCGATCCGCCGCGCCGAGGCTGCCCACTGCTGCTTCGACAAGGGTGGCTGCCCGAGCTAGGTGCCTACGGGCTGCTGCTGCTGCTGTAGCAGATGCAGATGCAGATGCGCCTAAGCCTGTAGCAGCAGGAGCTGTGCCAGCTGTAGCAGCTGTAGCAGCTATCGCGGCCGTAACGGCTGTAGCAGCAGGAGTAGAGAAGTGCGAGGGAGTGGAGAATTGAGAGGCAGAAGGGAAGATAGGTGTTCCAGGGGCAGGGGTAGTGAGGTAAGCAGGCACAAAAGGAGAAGCTGCTGCTGCTGCTGCTGCTGCTCCTGCTCCTGCTCCTGCTCCTCCTGCTTCATCAGCACCGGTTCTAACGCCCTCCTGACCGTCTTGAAGCTTTCCTGGTGTGAACAGAGAAGCTTTCTTCCCCGACCATGTCACACCATCAAAACCGGGAGTGGCGGCGGTGGCCGCAGAGGCAGCAGCAGCACGAGTACCCGCAACCCACGCCTCCTCCTTCCTCACTCTCTCCACCGCACCAGCCGCATCAGAAAACGCAGCAGCAAGCGCCGAGAAAAACTCCGGTCCAGCTTCCGAAACACGGGCGAAAAACACCTGGCTCCGGTCCCTCTCCAACAGAAACACACTCCCTTGCCGGATCCTATCCCCTGCGTCCTGCACTGCTCGCCACAGCGACGTTGAAGCCACCTCTGCTGCCTCCCTCTCTCTCTCCATCCGTGCATCTTCCTCCTCTGATTCTTCGTACCTTTCTGCTGCTTGTGCAGTGGCAGCAGCTGCCGCAGATGGTGACATAGGAGTGTTGTGGTGGTGCAAGGGTGAGGCGGCAGCTCTGGGTGCTGGGGACCGCAGGTACGGGGAGGCGAAGGGGGACGGGGAACCCTGCTTCTGCCTCTGCTGTTGCTGCTGCTGCGGCTGGTTCTGCTGTGACTGCTGCTGCTGCTGCAGCTGCTGCAGCTGCTGTTGCAGGTTAGAGGCGGTGGCGGCAAGAGAAGAGTGCAGGGTCCTGAGATGAGCCACAGACGCCAGCCGCTCTCCATGCTCCAGAATCAGTTGCAGGGCCAGGGCTGAGAGGGGGCGGGAAGAAGGGGAGGATACGGGAAGGGTGGGGCTGGGGAATGAGCGAGGAGTACAGGGTTTCGAGATGAGCCACAGACGCCAGCCGCTCTCCATGCTCCAGAATCAGTTGCAGGGCCAGGACTGAGAGTGGGTGGGCAGAACGGGACGGGAATGGACGGGTTGGGAAAAGGCTGTGAGTGGGGGGAAGAAGGGGATACGGAAAGTGGGGAAAGAGTGAGGAGTGCAGGGTCCTGAGATGAGCCACATTCGCCAGCTGCTCTCCATGCTCCAGAATTACTTGCAGAGCCAGGGCTGAGAGTAAGAAGGAGAGGCGGGAAGGGGCGGGTTGGGAAGAAAGAGGAGGAAAAAAGAGGAAGGGGCATCCAAGGGGAGGCACGCAGAACTTGTGAAGCAGTAACAAACAAACTCAAAAGTCACAGAACTTACGCTGCCTGACTGCGAGCTCCTGCTGTGCGCCCGACACCTGCAGGAACTCCAGAAACCGATCGTGCTGCCACTGCTTCACCCCCAGCTTCCCAGACAACGAAAACCCTCCCCCTGCCGCCCCCACGTCACGTGCTACTCCTGCCACTCCTCTGTCTACTCCTCGCCCCGTACCCCCGCCACCGCCAGGGGTAGAACTAGTGGTGGTGGTGGTGGTGGTGGTGGTGGTGGTGGTGGTGGTGGGAGGATCGTCCGCTCCCCAGTGCTTTGTGAGAGCGTCGATGATAGAGAGGCTGCAGCGCACAAATGGACTGGCCTCGCCCTCTGCCTCGAACGCGCCTGCTTGCAGCAAACGCTGGAGAATCAACGATCCGGATTCGCCTCCTGTCACTCCTCCTCTCCCACTTCCTCCTCCTCCGCCTGATCCTGTGATTCCCGTTGCTCCAGCATCCGCTGCAGCAGCAATGCTGGCCTCTATCCCACCTGATCCCGCAGCAGCAGCAGACAGGAATTCGTCAAAGAGACTACTCACAAGCACTGCCGGCCCGCCCTCCTCCCACGCCTCCTCCTCCTCTCCCTCCTCCTCCTCGTCCTGCTCTTCCTCCCTCTCCTCCCTCTCCTTCCTCTCCCCCGCCCCTCCCTCCTGCCCGTCCATACCTCTCCTCCCCTCCATTCCTACTTCGTCCATGCCTTGGTCTCCCCCCTCCGCACCACCAGCGCCACGCACCCGCCCATCTTCTTCCAAACGACCCAACTCCCCGGTGCTCCCCCTCCCGCCTTCGTACAATCCCCCCCCAGCACTCCCCCCTCCGCCTCCGCCCTCACGTAACTCCCCTGGTCGAAGCCCCAACTCCCCCTTACCTTCCGCCACAGCCACTGGTAATGCGCACACCCCTCCTCTCTCCATCAGCAGAATCCAATCTCCCACCGGCTGCTGCTGCTTCTGCTGCTTCCCCTCTCCCTCTTCCTCATCCTCCTTCTCCTCCCCTTCCTCCTCCCAGTCTCCTCTACCCTTCCTGAACACCCCAGCAGCCAAAACCCGCCCCATAGACCCCATCGGATCAACCTGATACAGCTGCCTTTGCACCACCCCCACGCCATTCCCCTGCCCATTCCCCTGCCCGCGCCCATCCCCATACCCCGCCCCACGCGCTTCCTGCCTCCCCCTCGCGCCCTCCTGCAGATGCACCAGCGTGGCTGCCCCATCCCCAGAGAGAATCAGCACAGAGCCTTTCGGCCGGCCTCCTAGACGCAGGGAGAGTGCGCACATAGCCTCCTCCTCCTCCACCTTCGCTCGAGGCACCACCAGCAGAGGCAGCTGCTTCAACCTTAGCCGAAACTCTGCTTGCGACCCTGCTCCTCCTTCTCCCCCTCCTCCTCCTCCTGCCGCTGCTCCTGCCTCTGCTGGTGCTCCGGTCTGTGCGCCTGGCGACCAGGGCAGTTGAGGAGCGGAGATACTGGAGGGGGTGTTTCCAGGGGCAGCAAAAGCAGTGGACGGCGGGGGCTCGCAGAGGGGGCGAGGGTTGCACGGCAGGCAGTGGGCAGGGGCGGATGAAGGCACGATGCCGAATCGTAGCAGCCAGTACTGCATGAAGCAGCTGCCGAACCCCACGCTCCTGTCTTTCACGAGAACAGCTGCTAGCACCACCACGTCTACTCCACTCTCTCCTCCTCCCCTCCCTCCCTTCTCCTCCTCCCCTTTCTCCTCATCCTCCGCCGCTACCCCCTTCCCGTCCCCTATGCCATCCTGCTGCTGCTGCTGCTGCTGCTGCTGCTGCTGCTGCTGCTTCTCCTCCTTCTTCCCCGCTCCAGCCCCCTCTCCCCCCAATCTCTCCGCCCGTGCTTTAGCAGCCATTCTACGGGTCATTACCCCCCCAGGAGTCTCCGCCCCTCTACCCTCCCCTGCTCCTCTCTGCCGCCCACCCTTCCCCTGCGCCGAAAACGGGGTAGGGGGTTGACTGGGGGAAGGGGACGGAGGAGGCAGAGGAGGAGGGGCGAGAGAGGGATGCTGCTGCGGAAGAGAGAATGATACTGTCGCCTCTGGTGCCACCTGGACGTCCAGAAGCCACGTGCGTTTCTGGCCAATCAGAGCCCTCTGCAAGTCGGGGTCCGAGAGCAGATCAACGGCCCAGATCAGCCAGCCCTTCCCTCCTGGCTCCTGGGAGATCTGCCAGAGCTCTAACCCTATCGCGGTTAGCAGCAGCACGTCAAAACTCTTAGCCGTTTCACTGCCCCCACCAATGCCTTCTCCTCCTGCACCTGTATCTGTATCCATCCCCTCTCCTTCCTCCTCATGCTGCTGCGCCTGCGCCTTCCCCACCACCTTAGACAGCCGTTTCGACCTCCTCACACCACCACCCACATCACTCCCAGTCCCTTTACCCTCACCATCACCAGTCGCACCAGCACCAGCACCAGCACCAGCATCACCACCCGTCCCCGATTGCCCTTTCGTCCCTCTGCAATTCTCTCCCCCAGGACCCCTTCCAACCCTCCCTCTTCCCCTCACTGCTGGCACCACCGTCAGCGACTGTACTGCTGCCACGCTGGCGCCACCTGGTTGCGCGCCTCTGTCCAAGCGAGAGAAAGCTACGTGAGGGCGGTCAGCGGCCGCAGAGGAGGAAGTGGAAGCAGTAGGGACAGTGGGAGCGGAGGGGGCGGTGGGAGAAGAAGACGAGGTGCATTCCACACGCCAAAGATCGCCGTTGCTGCACCCCAGAACGGCAACACACTCAACAACTGCATGTCCCTGCTGCTGTACCTGCTGCTGCTGCTGCTGCTGCTGCCCTTGCCCTCGCAATTCACCTTCTCCCTCTCTCCCTGCCGCAAGTCTCCCACTGCCCTTCCCCCCCGCCCCTCCCACCACGGCCAAGCTCGTAACCACGTCCTTACCTCTCGCGGACGACCCAAAGCCCCCAGCCTTTCTCCCCACGTGCCCCATCCCCCACCCTTCCGGCGCCTTCCCTATAATCGGCTCAAGAGGAGCCGCCGCACTACCACTGCCAATAACTTTGCCACCAGCAGCAGCGGCAGCAGTGGCAGTAGCGGCAGGAGAGAGGACGTTAGGCCAGTACGCGACGTACATGACGCGGCGGCAACAAGCAACCACACGCAACGCAACCAGCTTAGGAAAGGAATGAGAATCAGACGAGCCCTCACTCCTGCCGCTGCTTTGCTTATCACCCGCACCAGCATCAACAGCCATACCCATTGCTACATCCGTGCTCTTGCCCCCAGTCATCTCAGCATCCTCCTCCTGCTGCTCCTCCTCCTCCTCCCCCTCCCCCTTCCCCTCCGCCTCCGCCTCTCCTCTCCCCGCAAACACAGGCACAAGACCGACCAGCCACGTATGCCCATCAGTACCCCTCACCCTCCCTCCTCCACCGCTCCCCACCCCGCCACCAGCAGCGGCGAAATCAGCGCCGCCGGGAAGGGCGGAGCGGGGGAGGTTGAGAACGAGACAGCGAGAGGGGATCCGGGCGGAGACGTAGCTCCAGAGGAAGAGGCGGTGAGAAATCTGCACCCATGCGTAACCGGACGCTGGATCCAGGCTGGCCCGAGGGGCGGAGAAAGACGCTGGAAGGGCGGAGAGGGGTGGAGTGCGGTGCGGTGTGATATGGGGTGTGGGCAACGGGGGAGAAGGGGAACGGAGCGGGAGGCTGGGCTGCTGTGCGAGAGAATGGGCGAGAGAAAAAAAGCGACTGAGAGCAACGGGAGCGATGGGTATGGGGATAAACCCTAAACGCATACAGCCACTGGTGGCAGAGCAAATACAGCAGATGCAAGAGAAACAGCGCAACTGCTCACTTGAATCGTGTGAGGGCACGGCCTCCTCGTGTGCGGCAGGTAACTCTCAGGCGCCTTCAAAGGTCACTGCTGAAATAACACGGCTCACCTGCATCGTGCGAGCGCACGGCCTCCTCGTGTGCCGCCACTACTTCCGCCGGCAAATCGCACACCACCACAGGTTCTCCGGCCCCGCCTCCCCCCCCGATCCCATGAAACGCGGCCGCTTGTGACGGGGATGGGGCTTGAGGGTTTCGCTGTGAAGGAGAAAGTCCCGCGGGCGACCTGGGAGGAGCGGGAGATGGATCAAATCGGATTAGGGTTTGACATCTGCCGTGCGTGCGTAATGCTGCAATATTACTTCAGACGAAAAAGGTACATAAAAACAATGTAAAGAAGCTCGGACGAAAATTCGACATTCTGGCTCACACCGGGTTGAAATGGAACGGATCGGGATTGGGTGAACAGAGATCGAAATTGCGGAAAAAAAAAAAAAAAAAAAACGATCCTCTGCTGTTTTTATTATATAATTTGTTGTTATTTCTGTTTTTAGTCTCGAAGATCGCTCACCCAAAACGACCGGGGGCGGGAAATTGCTGCTGGTACGACGGGTTCCATGGGAACGGTTGCGGAGAAGCAGGAGAGGAAGAGACAAATCCCCCACCGAGGCCTGGCGATGCCGGCGAGCCGGGGATCGCGGAGAGTGCTGCCGTGACGTGCGTCGCGATCGGCGACGCGGCAGAACCTGCCGGAGACGGCGACGGCGAGTCGCGCGCAGTCGCCGGGCTGGCACGCCTCCCTGGCGTGCCGTACTTCTTGCTCCCAGAAAACATCGGCCCTAGCTGAGGGAAACCCTAGGTGAAAATTCAAGGAAAACCCCAAGACGGAGGGATTCTGACAGATGAGTAGGTCGGCAGAATCACGCGGTGAAAACAGCGGAAGTGAAAGAGCGAGCGGCAATCGCGGCGATCGCGGCCTGGCTGACACGCAGAAGAAGAATAGGGTTACTAAGAAACGGATTTGGACCAGAGCCCGCTAGATCGGGGAAAATAAGCGGCACAAGCAGCGTAGAGAGGAACCTTTTAAGAGAGGTGTCTACCAGGTCCCGAGTTCCGAGTCCCGACCGACACCAACATCACCAGATGCACTGGTGATGACGAAAAGCCATGACTTGAGTTGGGACTGATCAAGATGCTGCGATCTGTGTGGAAAACCAGAACTGGGATTTGCGGCAGTGACTTGTTCTGGTAAGGAGTCAGGTCGAAGGTGACTGAATTGATCTGGTCCAAATCGGTTCTAATTTTATCTGGTATGGTTTGGTCTGGTTTCATCTGAACTTTGTGGTTACGGTTCTGGGACGATCATCGAGGCGGCGGCTGGGGAGAGGGGGAGTGGGAGGGGAAGCTCGGGGGAATACTTATGTAAATTGTGAAAGACGCGCGCGGGAATTGGTGGATGTCGGAAAATCTCGAGGTTGTTCAGAAACGAGCAAATCTCGAGGTTGTGAGGGATGCGAAGGATTTTGTAACGATGCGGGAGTGGGTTACTAAATGGTTGCCAAAAAAAAAATGTTGGATCGCCTTCATGATCCAAAAATTTCCTGCTTCATGGGGCAAACTGTTGCAGTGTTGGGCTGTCCGGCCAATCTGCTTTCCCAGCCCGCTAGGACACTTTCCACACCATGTTCCTGCCGCGCGCGGTAGCGCGTCCGTCGGGTTCGTCCGCCAAATCCCGCGCGACGCTCCCACAGCGGCACTCGCGCACTCCGCCTTCAGATGCTCCCGCCATCAGCGGAGAGGTTGTGCGCAGAAGCGGAGATTTCGTGTGTGCCATAGCTGCAGCGGTTGGCGGAAAAGAGGGGGGCAGTGAGAGAGGGGGAGATGGAAGTAGCGTTGGCGGTCATGCAGGAGCGAAAGAGGAAGGGAAAGAGAGCGGGATACGAGAGGAAAAGAGAGTTAGAGGGTCGAGAGAGGAACCTCGGAGAGAGGAAGACGAGAAATTGAGAGGCGAGAAAGGGGTAGAGGCGGAAACGAAAACGGGTATGGAAGGGGAGAAGGAAGAGACGGAGAAGGCGGAGAAGGCGGAGAAGGACGAGCGGGGAGCGGAGGTGGAGAAGGAAACGGTTGTCACGGAAGGGACGGACGAAAAAGAGGAAGAGAAAGTGGAAAAAGAGGGGGAAGAAGAGAGCGAGGAGGAGGAGGAAGAGGAGGTGAAGGAGAGGAGCGTGCAGCAGAGAGCAGCGGAGCCGGGGGAGCCTGTGTGCGCGGTGTGCGGGAGATACGGGGAGTACGTGTGCGATGCAACGGACCTGGACGTGTGCAGCCGCGAGTGCAAGGCCGCGTGTGTTGCGGGGGATGTGCCACGTGTCAGAGGGAGTGAGGCGCCGGGTGGAGGACAGGGGAGGGTGGGCGGAGGAGGAGAGCGGTGTGGAAAGGCAGGAGGGGAAGCTGAGGGGCAGGGAGTGAGAGAGAAGGAGCTTGGAAAGGGGAGCGAGGGAGGAACTAAAGAGGAGGAAGAAGAGGAGGAAGAGGAAGAGGAGGAGGAAGAGGAAGTGGAAGAGGAAGAATGGGAAGAGGAAGAAGAGGAGGAGGGCGAGGAGTATTCAACCTTAGACACGAGCAACAGCATTGGGATGTCTCTTGATGTGATACAAAGCGGTGTGTCAGCAGCAATAGCAGCAGAAATCCGAGTACGGGAGGGCATATCCCTGCACGGAGAACTCCCAATTTCTCCACCTATCCTCGACTTCGCCGCACTGGCACAGCTCGGAATCAGTGCAGTCAACGCTGTCAACGCAGTCAACCCAGTCAACGCAGTCAACACAGTCAACCCAGCCATCACAGTCAATGCAGTCAACGCAGTCAACGCAGCCATGGAAATGATCCTGCGCAACCTGCAGCAGCGCATGGGAGTGCACACGCCCACGCCCATCCAGATGCAAGGCATCCCAGCCATCCTCGCCCGCAGAGACGCCCTCCTCTCCTCCCCCACCGGCTCTGGCAAGTCCCTCGCCTTCCTCCTGCCTCTGCTCGCCCTCGCCCTCCTCCCCCTCCCATGCATAACCGGTCCCCGTGTCACGCCCGCACCCATCCCCTCGCCTGCCCCGCACCTTATGGTCCCCACAAAGCTTAGTCATCCCGACTTCTCACCCGCATCGCAGCCGCTGCATCGCGTGAAGAGGAGGCGGGGACGTGAAAGGAGGATGGGAGGGGTGGTGGCAGTGGTGCTGGTTCCGTCAAGAGAGCTGGCAGTGCAGCACCATGAGAGCATCAAGCACCTGCTGAAGGCCGGCGCAGCGGAGACTTTGGGGGAAGCTGCTCGAACGGCAGTACAGCACCACGAGAGCATTAAGAAGCTGCTGAGGAGTGATAAAGCAGAGACTGATAGCGAGTTGAGAGGGCGGGATGGCCACACATTTGGGGGAAATGCAGCAGGCATCATGCAGGTCCGGCCTGATGCGGTTCGGCGAGGTGCGGTGCGGTCAGTGCTGCTGGTGGGGGGCGAGTCGACAGAGGTGCAGATGGGGCGGCTGTGGCGGGGAGTGGCAGGCGAGTGGAGTGTGGGAACAAGGGAGGGGGGTGAGGGAGCGGGGTTGCTGGGCGCTGGGGGGAGGAAGAGGAGGAGAGCGGAAGTATGGGATGGAGGGAGTGAAGCATTGGGAGAGGGCATGAATGCGGACAGGACAGATGGCAGAGGGAGAGAAGAGGGGAAGGGAGCGGTTGGAGTGGGAGGTGGTAGTGGGCGTGGAGGAGGGGAGCGGGGTTGTGCGGTGGTGGTGGTGGCAACGCCAGGCAGGCTGATAGAGCTGTTTAAACACATGAAGAAGGGGCTTCGAGAAGGAGTCGCTGCTGCTGCTGCTGCTGCTGCTGCTGCTACTGGTGGTGCCGTTGGTGCTGCTTCTGGTGATGGTGGCTCCGCTACTGCTGCTGCTGCTGCTGCTGCTGCTGGTGTGGGTGCTGGTGCCAGTGCTGGTGGTGCTGCTGGTGGCATCAAGGAGGGAGTGGAGAGCAGCAGACGGGGCGAGCCTCCGGCAGCAGGGAGAGGCAGGGTGGTGGTTGGCTGGCGGGCGTTGTGGCGTGCGCTGAGACTCGTGGTGGTGGATGAAGTGGATGCCATGGTGCAGGTGGGTAGGGTGGGGTGGAGTGGGGTGGGGTGGGGTGGGGTGGGGTGGGGTGGGGTGGGATGGAGGGTGGAGTGGGGTGGAATGGGGTGGAATGGGATGACATTGGATGGGATGGTGCATCCCCTAACTACAGCTTTTTCCCCCTTAACCAGCCCTCCCTCTTCCCCGTTCCTCCCTCTTCCCCGTTCCTCCCTCTTCCCCGTTCCTCCCTCTTCCCCGTTCCTCACTCTACCTGGTTTCCCCCTCTTCCCTGCTCGTCCCTCTTTCCCCCTCCCCCTCCCCACCCACCCTCACTCAACACCACAGCGTGGGTTCGCCCAGCAGTTGCAGCATATTCTCTCACAGCTAGCTTCTGCCACACACCCGGACGAGCCACACAAGGCAAATCCGCATCAGCATCACCATGCCACCACCACCACCAGCATTGTCACCGCCACCAGCAGCAGCAGCAGCAGCACCAGCACTTCCAACATCATCAGCAGCAGCTGTGGTAGCAGCAGCAGCCGTCGTTCCTGGCAGCTGGTGCTGGCATCGGCTTCTGTGTCCCCGGCAGTGCAGGACATGACTTCATCGCTCATGCACTCCCCCATCACCATCTCATGCGCACACACGCCCATGAACACCAATGGGCTCGCACTCACCTCCACCCATGTCAAGCAGGTAGACCAGCCCACCCGTCTCCTGAACTCCTGCTTCCCCTCTTTCCCCCCTTTCGGCTTCCCCCGCCCCCCCTTCCCCTTCCCCCCAATACCACGCCACCGTTCCCTTCCTCCGTCTTTTACCTCTCAAGCACCAATCCATGCGGAATGCCAGCCCTGAACGAATGCTTCCCCCTTCCTACATACTCGTCACGTCGCCACTTGTACGTGCAGGTTGTTATCTGGGTGGAGGAGAAGCACAAGAAGACAAAGCTCTGCGACATACTCTGCCACCCGCGGCACTTCCACCCGCCCGTCCTTGTTTTTGTCTCTTCCCGAGACGGCGCAGACCTCCTCTCCTCCACCATCCACAAACTCACCGGCCTCGAAGCAGCTTCCGTACACAGCGGCAAGCTCGCCCCCGATCGTCGTAACACCATCGCACGACTAATAACGGGGGAGATTCCTGTTGTGGTGTCTACGGCTGGAGTGCTTGGGCGTGGGGTTTACATTCCCAAGGTGTCGCAGGTTGTGGTGTTCGATATGCCGGTGAATATGGAGGATTATGTTCATTTGATTGGTCGAGCAGGGCATGTCGGAGCACCGGGAATAGCCATGGCCTTTGTTAATAAGTCTTCACGGCCGTTGCTGCCTGATCTTGTGGGCTTTCTTAAGTCCACGGCGAATCCAATTCCGCGTGAGCTTGCAGTGTTAGCCCCAAGGTGATCTTTGTATATATTATAAGGTGTATTTTATTTTCATACTAGTATCAGATGCGAAGTACGGGTGCAACGAGTGTCCGGTTCCCACTTCGAGATTTTGAATTTCAAATGTGGAACCTGGTTGACGGATTTTGTTTTATCCTTGCATCAACAAACGTGCACATACACGCATACCTCACCAGACAAGGAGCACGGGAAAGAAACCACCATATGACTGAATTCGTGCCAGCCGTTGCTCCGTCATTTCGTCCCCGCGCGTCCCCCGTTCTCGCTCTCGCTAACCTCTTGCTCTGTTTCCCTCGTTGCCATTACTACCCTTACTACCCTCTCCGCGGCTCAATTCTCGAGTCTTCTTTGCTCGATACCCATCTAGCACCAGCGTCGTCGGCGTCTCGAAATTCGCGAAGTTTGCGAACCCCGCGAAATCCGCGAAGTCCACCGCGGAGTCCGTTGGCAAGAAGAGTAACTACCTCATTATGGCAGTCTCCGCCGCTTCCGACCCTGGCGCCAGCTTGTCAGAAGCGGAAACGAAATCGAATATAGACTCCACCACCTTCTCCTCCTCCTCCTCCCCCTCATCGTCGTCGTCGTCCTTCTGGAGCATCGACAAGCGCGCCAAGCAGTTCACCCTAGCCGTGGTGTGTCATGAGGGGAAGGTCCTTCTCGGTCGCAAGCAGAGAGGGTGAGCCCAGCCCAGCCCAGCCCAGCCCAGGCCAGGCATCACTGGAGGCATATATCTGATAGCTTCCGCTCGCCTTTTAATGGGACCGGCGTGTCGAAACGTCTCGAACAAATGCGCCTTAAGACGTTTTCCAAATAGGTGCACGAAGTCTCACGATGATGCTGTTTTTGTCCTTTTGTGTCTGAGAACCTCTCTTGGGCAGGTTCGGCAAGGGTCTCTGGATGTTCTTCGGGGGAAAAGTCGAGCCGGGCGAAGCCACGGAGCACGCCGCTGCACGCGAGGTAGGGTGCCTTGTGTCCTCGTGCCATGTGCCATGTGCCGTGTGTCGTGTGCCATGTGCCATGTGCCATGTGCCGTGTGTCGTGTGCCATGTGCCACGTGCATTGTGTCATCTGCCATGTGCCATCTGCCAATTGCCATGTGCCGTGACACCATGCGCCATGTCAGCATCATCCTCTTCCCCTCCACTTTCCGTATCTGATCACTACCGTCTGCTCCCTCTCCTCTGCTTTCCTTCACGCCCCACTCCCCTTTTCCCCACTCCTCCTGTCCGCCATTCCCTTTCCACACTGTCTCTGCTCTCGTCTTGTTCCTCATCCTCCGCCATTCCCCTTTTCCCGTCTCATCGCAACGCCATTCCCCCATCCCCTCACTGCGCCATCTCCCGCTTCCCTCACCGCGCCATTCTGCCGCCCTGTCACTACGCTATGACCTTCACCCGCTTCTCACGGCACCATCCCCCCGTCCCCCCACGGCGCCACCCCCTCCGCCGCTTCAGCTACAGGAGGAGGCGGGTTTAGTGGCGGAGGCGCTAGAGAAGCGCGCCGAGCTGCTGTTTCACCTGGACGGGCAGCCCAAGCCGTGGCAGGTGAGTCAAAGCACACACTCGATGCGTTCCGCGTGGACTCACAAACACAGCCTGGACGGGCTTGGAAAGAGCACCGTCCCTCACACTATCTTCCATGTGTTGCGTAGTTGAGGAATTCGCCAGGCCGTTCTGAGACGCCTTAACTTATTTCCTCCCACTGTTTTTTTTTCTCCTTGTGACAGGTGCATGTATACATAGTGGAGAGATTTACGGGGGAAGTGTGTGCCAGTGACGAGATGATTCCACAGTGGTTTCCCGCCTCCGACATTCCCTATGGTGCGCCCTGTGTTGACCCTTATGGCATGCATTAGCCTGTACCTTACCACACATGCAATCCCACATGCCTTACCACATCCACTCCCCTATGCAGTATCACATGCAACCCCGCATGCATGACCACATACCTATAAGCTTGTGATTCCCGTTAAACTGTACCCTCACAATTCGCTCATCACATGGCATGCAGGGGAAATGTTTCCTGATGACATCATATGGGTGCCATGTTTCCTCAAAGGTACGATACGGAATGCACCACTCCACACCCCACCACTCCACACCCCACCACTCCACACCGCACCACACCACACCAAACCTACACACCGTGCCACAGTACATGTTATGACATGGAATACGCCCTCTTAAAACGCATCCTTTGTCCACGTATCCTTTGTCTCCCTTTGCATGGGGTTGTCCCTTGTCCCTTGTCCCTTGTCGAATCCTCCTTGGTCCGTTTTGCCTTGTCCTTTTCCCTTGTCCATTCCCCCAGGTGAAAGCCTGAAAGCTGAGTTTGTGTCCAGTGCAGACGGGATGGTGATGCGGCAACATCAAATAATAATCCAGTCCTAGTGCAATAGCTGCCAACTGGAATGTGTTCTAACATAGTTGTGTACAGTTGATTAGATAAACACCTAATTTATTTATGCGTATTTTTCATCTGATACATTATACGTATGTTGATGTTTCACTTGAACAAGACCAGGGTGCAGCCAATGAAGAGTTTGACGACTGCTAGATTGTGGTGTAATTCGGTACATAGGGTGAGTGACCTGTAGGTTATGTTCAATCATTTGCTGATACAAGTCAACACCACCTTTGAATATGCGATATGAATTTCTCGATGGTATACGATTGTCAGAAGTTCCTACAGTGCCCAGCAACGATAGCCCAGAAATCTCATTTCCACAAGCAGCAGCAGCAGTGCATTTTCTAAATCCCCTCATCCCAAAATCACACCATCACCCGGGCCCAGCAGCACAAACCAGAACCAAGGGAGCAGGCAGGGCAGGGGCTTCTCTTTCCTTCCACTTCACCCAGGCCAGGCCCCGCATTTGCTGACACAAGCTGTTGGCGTGTGTGTCACTGGATGCTTCTCCTCCCCACCTCACACAACAAACAACCCATCTCAGGGTCTCTTCAATTCAACCTCTACCACTATTCACCACTCTCTGACACCCTCCACCCACCTCGTTCCTCTCCACCAACCTCCGACTGAACTCAGAAATCACCACCCCCCCTTCTTCCCCTTCCCCCTCCTCCACGACCCCCGCCGCGTCCCCTCCCCCCGAAGCCCCGGCCGCCTCTGCCTCCCCCTCCCCCTCTCGACTCCCCTCGTCCCCCCCTTCCCCGTCCTCCACCTTCCCTTCCTCCCCCTCCCCCTCCCCTTCCTCCCCATACTTCACCTCCTCCCCTCCCTCCGCCTCCGCGCCCTCCCCGTCCCCCTCCGCCTCCCCATCCGCCCCCTCTTCCTCCCCCCCCTTCCCCACCATCACTATCAAACCTAGGTCGCTTAGCCATATGCCCAGGGGAAGATCCAAACCCTCCGCCCCTCCCGCCTGCTCCTCCCCTTCCCCCTGCTCTTCCCCCTCGCTCACCTCCTCTCCCACCACCCCTCCCGCCGCCCCTCCCGCCCCAATCACCCCCTTTTCCCCCCCCTCCTCCATCCCGACCGCCTCCCCGGCCCCTTCCCCCACCACCCCCACCACGGCCTCTACCCTCCCCTCCTCGTCCCCTCCCCCTCCCTCGCTTCGCACCGCCCGCACTAAATCCCATAGCATCTAAATCCCCATCCTCCTCCTCCCCACCATCCATATCATCCTCCTCATCATCCTCCTCCTCATCCTCTTCCTCCTCATCCTCATCCTCATCCTCCTCATCACTAAACCCCTCCCCATTGTCATCTCCCATCTCCCCATCGTCATCCTCCTCGCCTCCCCCCATCTCATCCTCACTCTCACTCTCTGACAGCTCTAAGTCCTTCACCACATCCTCATCCATACCATCCTCGTCATAAGCAGCCCCGTTAGCAGCACTCTTGCCTGCCTTGCCCTTCTTAGCCGCTCCAGCAGCAGTCTCACGAGCACGCTTCTTTGACGCCTTAGCACCCCTCTGCTCCTCCTCCTCCTCCTCCCCTTCCTCCTCCTCTCCCGCTTCTCCATCCTCTCCCATGTCTCCCGCTTCTCGATCCTCTCCCTCGCTCCCCTCTCCGTCTGCACCCTCCTCGTCACTCCCAAAATCATCATCGTCATCCTCGTCGTCGCTGTCAGCAGCGCGCTTTCCTTTCTTGCCCGTGTCATCCTCCTCATCCTTGAACACAAGCCTGTACACATGCACATACGCACACAGCAACGACATACACCCCACAGAAACGGAATGAGCCGCCGTTACGAGCAGCAAGAGAGGGAGGTGGCAAGAGAGGTCATCATACCTCCCAATTGCAGACAAGGGAGTAGGGAGTAGGGCAAAGGGAGTAGGGCAACGTCTAGAAAACTCCCAATTGCAGACAAGGGAGTAGGGAGTAGGGCAAAGGGAGTAGGGCAACGTCTAGAAAACTCCCAATTGCAGACGAGTAGGGAGTAGGGCAAAGGGAGTAGGGCAACGTCTAGAAAACTCCCAATTGCAGACAAGGGAGTAGGGAGTAGGGCAAAGGGAGTAGGGAAACGTCTAGAAAACTCCCAATTGCAGACAAGGGAGTAGGGCAACGTCTAGAAAACTCCCAATTGCAGACAAGGGAGTAGGGAGTAGGGCAAAGGGAGTAGGGCAACGTCTAGAAAACTCCCAATTGCAGACAAGGGAGTAGGGCAACGTCTAGAAAACTCCCAATTGCAGACAAGGGAGTAGGGAGTAGGGCAACGTCTAGAAAACTCCCAATTGCAGACAAGGGAGTAGGGCAACGTCTAGAAAACTCCCAATTGCAGACAAGGGAGTAGGGCAACGTCTAGAAAACTCCCAATTGCAGACAAGGGAGTAGGGAGTAGGGCAACGTCTAGAAAACTCCCAATTGCAGACAAGGAACGTACTCTGCGGGTTCAAGCTTCTGTCGCTTGGTCTCCACCTGCCGCTGCATCTCACTCGCATACCGCACCAGTGCGTTGTTCCCCTTGCTCCTCTCCTCCTGACGGGCATAGACACACCAAGCAAAACCAAAGACACGTTGCAGAGATTGTCAGAAAGGGGAGGGAAAGGCGGAGAGGACGAATCAGAGGAAGGGTGATGGGAAAAGTGAGAGGATCAAATGAGAGGAGTGGGAGGGAGAGCGAGGAAGCCTTCCCTGAGGGCAAGAACACACAGTGGCACAGTGGAAAGTGGGGGAGAGGGGTGATTGCATGGCAAATGCAGAGTGACTGTGAGAGTGGTAGTACCTGGAGGAACGAGGCGGCCTGGGTGATGTCTCTTGGGCCATAGGACACCTTGTCTCTCGCCCTCTCCACCATCTCTGCGTTGCGCTCAATCTGATGCCAAAGGGAGGGCAAGAATAACGAGGTTGGTGAGAGGAGGTTGAAGGATGAATAAATTCCCCAAGCCCGCACCCCCAGTCTCATACACTCCACCCTAGCTCTTTTCATCATCAGAAACTGATGAATCCACTTACTTATTCGCTACACTTCTCTCCCCACCTGGTCAATCAACCCCTTGATCTGCCGCCTGAAGCGGTCGACGCAGCAATGCTTGTGGAAGGAGCGCAGTTGGGTGAGTGGCAGCAGCAGCAGGAACAACAGCAGCAGCAGTAGCAGCACCAGCAGCAGCCCACCAAACCCTCAACCACCCACCCACCCACCAATCCATCCTCACAACCTTAACCATCCCCACCTGGTCAATCAACCCCTTGATCTGCCGCCTGAAGCGGTCCACGCGGCAGTGCTTGTGGAAGGAGCGCAGGAGCGTGAGCGGCAGATTCACCTCAACTCAACCCCTCAAACCCCCTTTCTTCCTCGCTCTGTTTCACATCAGAAATCCCTCACACCCGCCCAGCCACCGCCCCACCCACCACCCAACCACAATCCACGCCCACACTCTCTTTACCCACCTGGTCAATCAACCCCTTGATCTGCCGCCTGAAGCGGTCCACGCGGCAGTGCTTGTGGAAGGAGCGCAGATGGGTGAGCGGCAGCAGCAGCAGCAGCGGCGGCGGCAGCAGCAGCAGCAGCGGCGGCGGCAGCAGCAGCAGCAGCGGCGGCGGCAGCAGCAGCAGCAGCGGCGGCGGCAGCAGCAGCAGCAGCAGCGGCAGCAGCAGCAGCAGCGGCGGCAGCAGCAGCAGCCCCCCAAACCCTCAACCACCCACCCACCAATCCATCCCCACACCCCAAACCCTCCCCACCCACAAATCCATCCCCACCTGGTCGATCAACCCCTTGATCTGCCGCCTGAAGCGGTCGACGCGGCAGTGCTTGTGGAAGGAGCGCAGATGGGTGAGCGGCAGCAGCAGCAGCTCGGGGAAGGCGATGGAGAGGCTCCACTGCGAGGCGAAGAGCGCCAGCTGCAGCACCACCTCCTCCACCACTGCCTCCTGGAAGGTCTTCGAACGGACGACTTGCTTGGGCACCTGCGGTGGGGAGAGGGTGGGTGTGTGTGGGGTGAGGAGCGCGTGAGGAAGGAAGGGCCAGCTGCAGCACCACCTCCTCCACCACCGACGAGTTGACTTTTGAGTCGACTCAAAAGCCAGCTGCAGCACCACCTCCTCCACCACCGCCTTCTGAAAGGTGTTTGATCGCACGACTTGCTTGGGCACCTGGGGAGAGGAGAGAGGAAAGGGGAGCGTGTGTGCGGAGGGGGGAACCGGGGGAGGAAAGGAGGGGGAAGAAGGAAGAAGGGAGAGAGCAGAAGGCAGAGGAGACAGGGTGTATTGAGGTCGTTTTTGAGGCGCCTCAAAAACGACCTCAATGCACGCGGATTTCATACGAAGGGAGAGAGCAGAAGGCAGAGGAGGCAGGGTGTGTGGGTTGGAGAAAGGGAAGGGGGAAAGGGTGGGGGAGATGACACGGGGGAGTAAGGGTGGGAAGTAGAGGAAAGAGGAAATCAGAGAGGGGAGGTGGGTGAGGAGGGATGATGGTGAAGGAAGGGAGAGAGGAGGGGATGGGGGAAAAGTGCGAGAGCACGTGAGAGAGCAATTGAGAGCAATTGCTGAGGGAGCAAGTACATGAGTGAATGAGTGCAGAGGGTACCTTGAGCGAGGTGGCGAGGTTGATGCTCTGCACATTGGCCCCCGAGGGAACGACTTTCGATAACAAATGGGAGCGGGAGCAAGTGAGCGAGCATGTGAACGAACGAACGAATGAACGAGTGAGCGAGTGAGCAAGTGTGTTGTGAGGGTACCTTGAGCGAGGTGGCGAGGTTGATGCTCTGCACATTGGCCCCCGAGGGAGCGTGGTGCAGCTCCTTTATCTGTAGCACGTCCACCAGCACTGGCGCCACTGGCACGTAGTGGCCTGGTGGAGAGGAGGGAGAGGAGTGGGGGAGCGAGGGTGGAAGGGAGCGAGGGAGGAAGGCAAGGGCAACTAGCACAGCTGCAACACTGAAACTGCTGCTCCTCCTTTATCTGCCGCACGTCCGGCAGCACTGGGCGAATTTTG